GAACATATTTAGAAACACTATCCTTCATAGAAAAATATATAAATTTTATGTATTAATTAAATTTCACATATGAATATAGGTTTTTGACATTTTCGACATTTTTGACAGTGAGGTTTTTGACGTGACGGTTTAAACCATGGTTTAAACTGTCAAAAACTGTCACATGTCAAAAACCTGCCAACACTGGTTAAATGCGAAGAAAAATTTAGAAAAAAAGAAATAAAATAAGTTAATATTTTCTATTGTTGGTAATTTCTTTTATACGTGAAATACTTATTTAATCATGCATAAAACACTTATTTTGTATTAAACACACAAAATTTTTAATTTGCATATAATTGTAATATAATGGATAAAATGGGAAACAAACTTTTCTTTTTGCAATTGCTGGATCAGCCTGACAATCTCTATCAATATGCTCGCTAACAGCAATATCAGGCTGTTCCCCTCTCTTTGATGGCACAGGTGAGTTACATAATGGACAGACTGGTACTTGAACATCTTTTTGGTATCCTTTATTGCAGGAATGTTTATTGTATTGAAAATGGTCATAGCTGGAAAAACAAAACTGTCTTATCTTAATGGAAAACACTTAATATAATGAGAAAGGTAAATTCAGTAAAAAATTTAAAAAGAACTCACCAAAACACATTTGAACATGCATCACACTTTACAGGTAAAAAATCTAAAAATAAAATTCAATTTTAGAACATTAAGACACAGAAAATATAAAAGTAAAACTTGCTAATATCTTAAATTATAAGGTAAACAACTTTACTTATTATTTTGAAACATGTAGTTGGTAATTGTAAGCTGTTTGTTACGAAGTTAACAGTCAGTGTTCTCCCTAAGCGTTTTAAGAAGGGCGTCAAATCTGCTTGCCCTTTGATCCCAATAAATACGCCTTCTTTGTAAAAATAAGCTGCCTTCCCTTTAAAACACCACCTATTAATTCATGTTACATTTTGAAAAAAATTCACAGTTTAAATAATAATTATACCCAGGTAAAATTATCAGTGTTTATAGGTTTCATTCTGATTACTTTTACAAATACTATTTATGTTATGATTAGTTTACTTTGTTAGGATTATTATTCTCAACTTGTTATATTTTTATTAGTAACTTTTTCGGAGAGATTAATAAATGTTTAAGTTATGTTAAATTTTAAAACTATTGCTTAAATAAATAACTTTATTTTAAAAACATGTGCTTTTAAATGTTTATTTTCTCTTCATTTTCACTTTTAATTACAGAAAGAAACTTTCAAGTTGTTTGTCAATTAACTTTTTTTAAATTTAATTTTTTCAAAGAAAATTTATTATTAGCATGCCTTTAATTATTCTTATTTTGATAATGAGAAAGAATTACTTTATGAAATATACACATAAAATTGTATAAGAGGGTAATTTAAAAATTGTTGATAATAAAATTCAGTTGGTTATTACATAATTACACATTATGATAGATTTTTATGGTGTTAAATCCTTATAAAACTCAAAGTGGGCTTTTCTGAAAACAAAGCCCAGCCTGTTTTAATTCTTAGAGAGAACTCTGAGTTAATCTATTGTTCCATTAAACAAGTGAAAGATTTCAGATAACACTGTGGTCACATGTTCGCCAAATAACATATTTATGAAAAGTTGTCTTTCAATATCAACAAATTCCATATTAAAAAAGTTTTAAAAAAAACCTAAGAAACCGAGGTGAGCAGCAATGGCTCAGGTGATAGATCGTTTGTGATCAATGAGGCCAACCGGGTTCAAATCCCAGTCGTCACGAATTCCACATCCGGCTTGCATCGACCACAGTGCTGACGTGAAATATCCTCTGTGGTAGACGGATCATGGGCTAGAGTCCCCTTGCCTGAGAGAGGTTCACATGGTCATTCTCTCCATGTAATGCAAATGCAGGATAGCTCTATCAAAAAGACCTAGATGAAGGCAAAATTTCTCCCACTACTCGATTCAAGAGTTCCCTTGTCTTCTAAATTGCATTTAAAATTACAAGGCTACGGAGTTGAACATTAGTAGTCGTAAACCCATAAAATTGGGTCGGCTGCTCAACGACAGTTATAATATAAAATAATGGTTACAAAATACAAATAAAATAAAAGTACAGTTACAAAATAAAAAGTAACCGAGGTAAAGGTAAACTGTTTCAAAGCTGCAAGTTGTTTACCTAATCAACTTGGGTAAAAAAAGTGCTTATAATTTTGAAATATATAGTTAGTAAATGTACACTGTTTTAAAGTTAACAGTTAATCATTCTATTAGGGATTCAGATTTTTATATTCACTGTTGATGTAACTTTTAGAGATTTACGTATTTTTAATGTATGATTTGTGTATGTATCAACTCTCGTATGCCCTAAAATAGGGTGGGGCAAGATAACAATAAACTATTCTATTATCGTGTTATACAAGTAAAATCTGAATTACAGTGTTGTCACAGTGTATGCATAACATAATTCACAAATATATTTGTGAAAATTTATCTTTCACTATCAGTAGTTTAATATTCCAATTTATTTGCAACTGACTCATTAAACAACTTTAATATTTTTAGTAGTAATAGAAAAAAATTTTGGCTATTACACTAAAAAATTTATACTTATTAAGATTGTATTAAAAATGAGAATTATGAGTTTTTAAAACTGTTAATCACGTAAATTTGCACACTCTTAGAGTGTTCTTGCTAATTAACTTTAAAAAATTTATTAATTGTTTAAGCTTAAACATAAAAGATCCACAATTTAAAACAATCTGAAATTAAAAAAGCAAAATTCATTTTATTAACATAATTACTATAATTTTAATCAATTTATTTAAGTTCAATTACTTTAAATCAGAGCATAAAACTGATTAAGTGAATTCAATACAATTGTCTGTATCAAATCGATCACAAACAAGATTAAGATAAAAACAAAAATTACACTAAAATAACACTTAGCAAAAAGCTGATTCAAATATTATCTTGAATAAATAATGATAACTGAAGACTTTAATACATTTTTAATGAAAATTAACATAATAAAAATAGTCCAGATAGTATAAAAAGTAGACTATAATTTATACTATCTCTTTACCAGGAGTCAGGACATCAATTAAATTTATATAAGAAAAAACGTAAGAGATAGTTTAAAGATATAAAAACTAAAGGGGATTTCTGTCATTCGAAAGAAATACCAGAATACAATAACAGAAATAGCCAGATAACAGCATAATAACAGAACCATAATATAATTTTAAAAAAAAAAAATTTCAAATGTATACAACTGAAATTAAATATGTTTTATAGACATTTAACTTACCTAATCTATTGCACGATTTTTCAAAGCAGTGACTTCCAAGATTGGGAAACTCCATTTCTAATTTAATTAGAATAAAATTCAATATTAGGAAAAATTATTTTACGCAGGTAAGAAACCCAACTACCGACGACCAAAAGGCTAGAGTAAATGACACAGGTTACAAAAAAATAGTTTATATACTACATTACGCATATTGCTCCTGCGTTGCATCACGCATAAAACATGAATTAGCTATTTGAATTTTAACTTCATTTCACTAAAATGACCTGTCACTTTTCATTTTCCATTCAGAGCGTAAACAAGTCACGGCAAAGTTGAGATGTCGTAGGCTGCGTAGAAACAAGAGATCATTTAAAGGGATTATTTTCACTGTATCTAAGACAGTCATGTGCAAACGTGACCCTGATTGGTGAAATATGCTACACAAAGAAAAATCTTTGGATTAAGTGTGTATGGATGGTGTTTTCTACACTAGGGGACGCTGCAAGCTCGGTGCCGCCTAAATTTCCGGGTTACTGTTTTCGTTGTACTATTTTAAAGCCATTTGGCATCATTGTGTTTTGAGATTCTTGCAAACAATGTATTTGATTACTTATTACTTGTGTTTACAATGCTAACAATACTGGTGTTTACAATGCTAAAAGTGTTAACACTAACGTAAGATGGTGCACAGCTTGCAACAAGAACAAACAGTAATAAACTTATGGAAAGAGNCGCATCGAATAATTTTCTCACGACCTTGACTTCGAATTAAAACGCAAAGAGTTTGCAAATAAACAGTTTCACTTTGGCTGCTATTAGAAAGAGAACTTTCTTTAGAAATACTTTTTTGGTCATTATTTTTTAATTTGGAACACATTATATCAAAATGATTATAATTACAATTAGAACATTTTAAATTATTTTTTTCATCACAAAATTTACTTATATGATTAGCCTTTTTCAAACATGAAAAACAAGCACCCTTTTTCAGTAATATTTGTTGCTTCTCGATTAATGACATTTTCTTCGCGGAAAAACATTTTTCACTGGGATGGGATTTATCACAGAAAATACAATTTCGCTTACCTGCATTACTAGCGATGCTGCTGTTAACTAGGGACGCCGCGGTAGCCGAATCGGCTAATCTTACCTGCTCTATTCGAGGGTTTTTATTACGGTGACTCGGGTGGGGATCAAAACCAGTTCTTGCTAGCAAGACCATCTCTTCGCCTTTCACTTCTTGCCGAAGGAAATTCATCAACTGTTCCAAAGAACGGTCACCTTTTTCAGTGGAGTCGTGGTTACGGCTCCTCTCCCACGCCACCAATACTTCTTCTGGTAGGCAACTTTCTACCAACGGCGTCAAAAAATCTCCATACTTTTCTTGTGTTCTTCCCAAGCTTTCTAAGGACCTCAGTTTGCCTTCCAGTTCGTCATAGAGGGAGGGTAAATCAGTTTTTGCTCTTCCAGTTGCTGCGTTCTTCATAACTAAATTTAACAAATCACGTACATATATTTGTACCAGCAAATCCTCTCGTCCAAAACGCTCTTTCAGTTGTTCCTTAGAATAAGCTTAGAATATAGCCTTAGAATAATTAGCTGCCGTTGCAGGAAAACTAAGGATCAGACGTTCAGATTTCGATTTCGGTTCCATAGATTGCAGCAAGTACTGCATTTTATCTTCGTCTGCAATATATTTATCATCATGAATTTTCTGGAACTGACTCCAAAATGTAAGGTAATCTTTAGCTTCACCTGAGAATTTTTTCAGCTCTATTTTTGGGAGTTTAAATTTTCTCGTTTCCTTGTCAGTCGGCAGCACAGAGAGTTGTTCTTCCGAGTTTATTTGAGCACATAACGTGTCTCGGTAATTCTCAGACTCTTCAAAATCTTCATTATATGCATTTTCTGTCGTTTCATTCTGAAAAAGCTGCTCTGATATAGTATTTTGACAAACTTCAAGTCTTTGGAACTTATCATTAAGTTGAAACTTTAAAATCGACAGAGCCTTTAAATCTCTTACTTTTTTGTCTAATTCCGTTTCGATTTTCTTCACGGTGTGAGTGAAGGCAATTCGCAGTCCTTTTCGTTGTGTTTTCAAAGCATTTAATTCCATTTTCAATTCGAAATCCAAACTAGTTCAGATTCACAGTTTGAAAGTTCACAAATCAAATTTTCAGTAACGTAAGTTCAAAATTCATCAAAATCGAAATTCAAGATCAATCAGTTCAAAAAATCAATCAGGAAGAATCAGTTCAAAATTCAAATCAAATTTCGATCAAATCGAAATTCAAGATCATAAGAAAAATCAGTTCAAAATTCTAATCAAATCGAAAGTCAATATCATAACAAAAATCAAATTTAATTCAGTCCTAATCTAATTTCATTTCGAAATCCATTCCAAAAAGCACCCAAGTCCCGCCGAGGGTACCATTTATGTAAGAAACCGAAGGAGAAATTCCAGATCGTTCATGGGCTGCATCTACCAGATGCTGGGTGCATTGGAAATAAAAGTGACACATAGGCCTTCTAAATACAAAACGAACATTTATTCAACAAAACAAACAGCTCCTTGGTCAGAGCTGCTTCTACGACGGAATCATAACATTGAATGAAAAAATCTGACGCCAAGCGCAGAGGCACGCCTCGCCAACACTTTACTCACTGCACTTCATTTCACAACAATGACCAAGCTCTTTACTACCATGTCATCTCGCCGATTTGGCCACGGAGGGAAGGTTTTCCGACCCTGCCGTGTTCCATAAAATCATGTTGATATCGATGCGATAAGGAAAGAAACGAAACATTATATATCCGACAACATGCAAAAGATATTCCTCAACTTCGATAAAGAATATGATGATTTCGAAAGTTATGCAAGAAACATAGATGCTGAGATTGAAAGAGTACGCGGAAGATCAACCACGAAAGCATATCTCGAAAACTGCTACAGATTGAAATTCCGTCTAGAGGAAATGCTGATTTTAAAAGCATCTAGAGACTCCCAAAATGTCTCACCTCCTACCAATCCTGACCCTGAAACGGAGAGTCTGAAATAGCCCCAAAAACTGATGTCTGCATAGAGCCGGCAAAGAACTCAACAGTTATCCAGTTGATACTCCAATAATCCCAGATGAGCCAACCCTAGTGGAAGCTACTGATAACATCGATAAGCCAATCTCTACTACCATCCCAGAGACTGACTCCACCACTTCAAAATCCAACAAGAAGNTCGGGTGCCATAAATGGCACGCGTGCCATTGGTTCGCCATCCCTGGTATAGGATGTCCTGGTGGTGAGCTGAGTTCAAAAATTGCAGCCAGACTGGCTTGACAGTTGAAAATATGTTGCGTCATTAATTGGGTTCCAGTACAATGTCTGCATATGGGGTACAATCTGGTCTTGTCTGAAGAAATCTAAGTCCTTGAAATGGCTCATACAGAGTCTACCCTCAGGGCAATGGCAACTATTTCCTATGGATAGTGTATTTTAATTCTTTTTAGCAAACACTGCATGCTTGAATTTAGTTGAAAAATGTAACAAATTGAATTTTTTGATGTCATTCACCACTAGCTTTTTTCAGAATTTTTGTTAGTTGAGATCACTTTTTCCATCTTACATATTTTTTTTTTGTGTGTGTGTTTAATCTCTATTCTTAGCATTTTTTATTAAATTTATAATGGTCCATCCTGTTATCTTTTTATTTTGACTAATTGATACTGTTTTTATTTATTGATAATAGTTCTATTAATTTATAATGGTTTCTATTATAATTTATTGGTTATAGTGTTATCCTTGCCATTATTTAATTAGGAAATGCCATTATTTAATTATTCAGGCTGGTGGTCTCTTAGCTTGTGGTATTGTGAATTGTGGTGTAAGGAGTGAATGTGATCCTGCATTGGCCCTTCTTGGTGATTACGTCATGCATAATAGCATGGTTATGAGAATTGGTGCAGTTATGGGGTAAGTTATTTGCTCTTTTTTATACTATGTCTCAATATCTTCTGAAGATATTTTTTTCAATTAAAACTTTTAATTTTCATAATTCAATTTATTGTTCAGAACTTAATGAAATTTAAAAGAGAATTATAAAATGTATTAAGGCTAAAAAAAATCATATTCTTTTCCTCGTATTAAATACTTTTTAAAATAATGAAATTTTTTAGAATGTTGAGTAAATAAATAAATAGGATACCAATAAGTATTATTTGGGTATTTAGCTTCGTATAAAGCGACTGGGTCATTACAGTAGTTTTCTTTTCAATTTAATGCAGTAATTCAACATTACCAGTCTTGTTTTATACTAATTTTTTTTTGTCATTTGAAAAATATGAATTTAAATGCATTAGATGAAATAATATTTTTATGAAAATTTTTTTAAGATAATTATTGGTTTCCAGAGTTTTATTATTCAACTGGAATCACCGTACACTTCCATGATAGAAAGCATATTATAGATATTGTAATAGTTATAAGCAAGATCATAGCAGAGAAGGTCGTCTTAAAGCAGGCCATTTACTATGTTGAGGGAAATTACTAACTCTTTTTAATTAAAAAAAACTTTTCACCTCCTCTGGTGAAATTGTGCTTAAATGTTTAATTTCTTTTCAAATAAAATAATTTTATTTTTTATAATTTTATTGATTATTACTGTATTATTATTTTATTGATTATTATTTTTTATTTATCATCAAATTTATATGATTTTGTTAAAACGGAAATAGATAACAGGAAAATGATAAAATTTCTAACTTTTGTTATTTTTCATCCCTTTATTAAAATTCAGAAATTGATTTTACACTTTTTTTTAATTCTAAATTTCATTTAATAATCATATTTGAAGAAATTTTATGTTTTAAAACAATGTTAAGATTCTTGTATTATTGTCTAAAAATTCTTATTAAATTTGTTTCTAGAATGGGTATTGCTTATGCTGGCACCAATAGGGATAATGTTCTCCAATTGCTTATACCTGTTGTTAGTGATTCAAAGTCAAGCATGGAGGTATGTTTATGTTACCTTAAATGCTCTTATAAAGTTAAGGAAGTTAAAGATCCTTTAAGACAGAAAAAAAGTAATTTTGTTGTGATTTACTAGTTATTTATATAGTATCGATGTTATAACTCTTGATGTACGAATTTATTCTTAGTAAATAATCATTTCTATTTGAAATTTCAAGTGTGTTTGCATTTGATGATTTTGTATTGTTTAAGGTTTGATGTATTATATGTTTAGATATAAGAGCAGGGATCTCCATGCATTGTAAGAGTGGAACTAGTTTATGATTTAAATATGACTTCCTTACCTTTTTTTCCATAGCTTTATATTTTCTGAAATAATGTTCTTATGCAAACTTAGAGATTAGATATGTGTTTTTTGTAGAAAATTTTATGTAATTTATTTCCTGTTCTTCAAAAGCCATAATTTTTTTTTGTCTCAATAAAAAACTAAAGAGAAAAGTCTTTTAAACCCTTCCATAAAAATCCTCTCATCTTATTAATGTGATTTTTTAGTAAGAGATTGTGTAAATGCATAAGTTAAAGAATATTTTTGCATAATTTAACATAGCACTATTAATATTTTAAAAAAAAGCAACCTAATCAGCATATTCATGGAATTTACTTGTTTTTCACAACAGCTANTTTTTTTTTTTTTTTTTTTTTTTTTTTTTTTTTTTTTTTTGTTTGTTTGTTTGTTTGTTTTGAAAATCTTTAGAAATTAACTTTTATTTGAAAGCAATTATGCAAATTTTAATGGAATATTTCTTTTCTAAACAGGTTGTAGGTTTAGCAGCATTAGCCTGTGGTATGATAGCTGTTGGATCCTGTAACTCTGCTGTTACATCTGAAATTATCCAAGTTTTGCTTGAAAAAAGTGAAGCTGATTTAAAGGACACTTTTGCTCGCTTCTTACCTTTGGCTTTAGGTCTTTGTTACTTAGGTTAGTACAAGCTTTACTTCTTATTTATTGATGTTTATTTTTATACATATTTGTTCATTGACTTCAATATTAGTTCTCAAACATGAAGCTTTTTTGTTTGTCAGTCGTAATTTAAATTGTAATAGTTCGACGTTAGATATACATAGTTAATATTTGATAAATGATGCTTAATAGTGTTTAAATTGCCATCTTAAATATTATTTTTAATGAAAGTACAGAACAACGTTCTGTATCTGGACGGAAGTGTATTTTCTGGACACTTTTTAAGAATCAAAATTAACAAATCTTGCTTCCTTTTTCAAGGGAAAAACAAATATTTTTTTTATGTTCTTGAACCATTAAAAAAAGTATTAGTAAAATTTTATTTTTTTCTTAATGTTCTGATAAAGTGGTTTCCTTCAATAACTACACTGAAAAAGTTTTTGAAAAGACAGGAACAGTTAAAGATAAGCAAAACTTTGGTGAGAATAATAAAATGTGAATATTATTAAAGTTGAATATTAATAGCATTTGAAAAGAACATCAGCAGGCAAGCTTTGTTTCCCTTTAAATCATAATTATGAGTTCAAATTATTGTCTCCTTTCTTCCTCTTAATTCTTAAAACAAAACTTTAATGCAAAAATAATATTTTCCAGAAAAAATTATTCATAAAACATTAAAAGATATATCTGTCAGAAATGCTTTTAAAAATGCAAAGACATCATAAAAACATCTAATATATATATATANTATATATATATATATATTACGTACGAAAGCAAAACAAAAAAATAAAAATTTAGCTTACTTTTTGAAAACAATTTTTAAAGCTAAACATTTAAATTTTCCCCTTAGCATATTTTCAAGAAAAATTAAAGATTAAAGTCCAATAGAAACCTTTTTAATTCTTGCATCATAATGATAACATAAGTTTTTTAAACGAAAGATTTAATGCTAAAAATCTAAATTTAACTTTTTCACAAGGCTGTATTTTTAGAAAAAATTAACCTTAAAAAAATAATGTTCATTAAAAACACTGCTTGAAAAATGCTGTTTTAATAAAAACACTATAGAACAAAAAGTATTAATAAAAAAAATGAAAAGAGAAACAAAAATTTGTTCTTAGTTCTGAAATATAATTTTAACATTTAGAATCACAGTTTTCTTTGTTACTAGTTATCTGTATTACCTTACCAAAATGAATGTGACCATAAAAAATTAAGTCTATTAGAAATGCTCCGTTAACATAGGTTAAAAAAAAAATTAAAAAAAGAAGCAAAAATAAAAAACAAAAAAGTTCTCACTTTTAAAGCATTAATTTGGTGAAAAATTTATTAAATTAACTTGCCAAAATATAATTTTCTATAAAAAAAAATCAGCAATACTAAACTCATGGTGCAATATAAAGTAATCTAGTTTCAATTCTTGAAATATTGCGTTTCAATGTGTCTTTCAGAATATAAATTAGCAAGTTTTAGAGCTTAACTATGTGTAAAAACTATTTCTAATAATGTATAGTAAAAAAATATACGATTTTAGATTATTCTTTATTACATCCATTGAAATTTATCCTTTTGCCGAATATTTAGCAGCAAAAAGGCTGAATACCGAATAGTGGTCAAATATTCGTTACATCTTTACTACCAACCCAAATATGAAACTTTCCACTGTATGTCATTTGTGAGAATATAAGTATTTTTTTGTTATGATTATTTGAAAAAAAATCCTTTTATACTAGGAATAGTTCAACAGTATTTCTCTAATTTATTTAATGAGAAGGACCCTTAATCTATATTCATCTTAAATCTTGAGAAATATTGCTTAATGTTTTTAATCTTAAAAAAAAAAAAAAAATTCTTATCTAATATGTAAAATAGTTTACTATGTAAAAAATAAATTTGTAATTAATGTGTAAGAAAAAAAAATTTATGTCTTTTGAGGGCTACCATCAATGTTCACTATTGCTATCAACACTGAAAAAAGTTTTGAGATTTTTATTTCAGATCACTTCACTTACTCTTCATCTTAGTTTTGTTTAATACCCAAGCTTACATATTTCATTTTTAATATATAAGCGGCTATGCCCTCCTGTTAACTATCTCTCCCAACACTCAGGTTCTGTCTGACCCACAGTAGGATGAATTATGGGTAAAAGATTAAAAAATCTAGCCATCAGAGTGGATCGATATTGGTTCATAAAAAAAGGCATTTTACAATTTATTGACTCAACTCATTAGAAATTCAAACAAAGTAAGGTATGTTTTGCTCAGCTTAAGTATATGACAGCAAAAAATCATTCTACCACTTCACCAGAAAAAAAATCAACTTTTGTATAAAATAACTCAAAAACTAGTGCCTGTTATAATAACATAATCATATCAGAATGCTCCTTAAGCAGTTTTCTAAAAATATGCAAAATTTCATATTATTTAATCTAGTAGCTTTTTGCACTTTATCAGTGTTTCTCAAACTTATGACTTTTGTGTACCCTTTCTAAATTTTTCGTAACTCTGTGTACCACTAATAAAAAAAATGAATGAATTTTTTTAAAAACATTTTTCTTTTTTGGTACAAAAGTTTTGTAGATACTAACCAGCGATCCATATTCTGTTTTAGGGATAAATATTATATTCTATGAAAATAATAAAAATAAGTAGAATTTATTGCAAGCCTTTACTATAAAGAAATTACACAAAAGTTAAAAATCACAACTATCTGTTGATATCACCCACTAATTATTCGCTTTTAACTCTGCAAAAAATAGCCAATAGAAAAATACATAATCGTTAATTTTCATGGCTTGCTTTGCTTTTAAATGAAATTTTTTGAAATTTTCGTTAGTTTGCAAGATATTTCGCTTAAGAACGCTTACCCCCGCTAAACTGTTCCCGTACCCCTGGGGGTACGCGTACCACACTTTGGGAAACACTGCACTACATTAATAGTTTTGCAGAAAATATCCCATAATATTGAGAGAGTTGAAATAAATTCAAAAAACTAATGTTTTTGCTAACAATTCAGAATAATATAAATAAATTTTGTTGATGAAAAAAATAGAAAAACAAATTTTGAAATTTGATAACTTTAAAACTAATAAGTCATTGAAAAAAAGAAGGCCAAGATACTTTTTTCTTTAGATATAGGATATCATGCCCTCTAAAAATTATTTTACTGACATTGAATTTTATATAAATTTAATACTATTTATTAGGAGTAGCCAGATTGTTACCAATTGCTCCAAAACTTATTATATTAAATTTATTAATGATGCATTCATAAAACTCTGTGGTTTCATTTATGATTATTATAATAATAATTTTTTTTTCTTCAGGAAAACAAGAAGGAGCTGATGCTATTATTGCAGCTCTTGAAGTACTTAGTGAACCATTTAGAAGCATGGCAAAAACAATGGTTGATGTTTGTGCTTATGCCGGTTTGTATTTAAATATTTATATATATAGCACAATAAAGATAAAAACGAAGAAAATTAATGAGTTTTGTTTACTGTGCAGAGGCTGCAAGTATAGTAGAGAACCAATTATCCGGGATGCTCGGGACCATCGCTATCCCGGATATCTGAATTTCCCGGTTTTCTGGATCGACCAAAAAGTGTCGTTAATCGATATTTTATCGAACCCGAAGTACAAGGAAAAAGTGTAATGCATAAAGTAAGAGAGAAAAAAAGGTACTCCTAACTTTAAAAAGAAAAAAAAAAAAGGTAGAAATATAACATTTAAAAGAATAAAAAAATTTGCAAGTTTATCAATGAAGATAACCA